TTATCATATCAAAATTCAGTTTTCTTCATAAGAAAACAATTTTTTTTTGTCTTTTCATTATGAATTTTTTATCTAATAGGTTTATTTATTAAATATCATGTTCATCTTACTCATGATACATTAAATTCAATTCAACAGCAAATATTTAAAAACAGAATATCCTTAAATTTCTCAATAGCATGCCATGGCATTCCTTACATACCCTTATTTACACCACTGAACACAAGCAAAGGAGGTTGCTATCTACAAAAACAAACACAAGAAAGCAAATGTGTTTTACAAGTTGGCAACTGAGATCAATGGAAAGTCGACATAAAGATGCTGTTGCTGGATAGAAATTGCAAAAGCTTCATAGAAGGTAATGAAGAATTTGGTTTAAATGCAACAACACATGAAAAGTATGATTTCAAGTTGAGATAAAATAAGTCTTCACTATATTATACTATGGAATTAAAAATGAGTTGAGGTCATTAATACAAGAATGTCTGAGTGGTAATGAAGCATAGGAGGTTTTGCAGAAGCAATCTGAATCCAAAGCAAGAGCTACAGTAATTCAGCTACTACATGAATTTTTCAGCTTTAAGTATGCACCAGATGAAGGGATATTTATCACTAGGATAAAAATGACAGTGAACAAGCTGGCTGAAGCTGGATGCAACAGTCTTAAAGGATTTGGGGCATTTCGGTGTTTGGCCCAGGGATACTCCGAGAGTGTACAGCTGATTTATAAGTGGATGGACAATGATTTTATGCTGGGAAAATGACCGATGCACTCAAGGGCAGAAAGTCGACTTTGTCAGGTATATGCTGATTTAGAACACAGCAAGGTTAGTGTATTTAATACTATTCTCATAAATGTGGGGGGGGGGAATAAAAATGAAGCTAAAACTAAATTTAAGAAAATAGGGAATGTAAAGATAGAACCTTCTCCCAGATGTCAGAAATTTGAACACTTAATTAATTGCATAGTCTAAAGAAAATTTAAATAAAAACCGAAGTTTAAAACAGATGATCAAAACAAACAGCTTTAAGATAAGGAATTAATGTTAGTAGAAAATTATGTGCCAGCTGCAGATAAAGGATAAATATACAGATAAATTTAATTGCGTCACAGATATACCTGCTACAACTCATTTCTGCAATCATAGAAATTTTATGATAAATTTTGAAGATATCAATTTGTATGTCTCTAACTGTAAGAAATTTTGAAAGTAGAGTATTAGGAAAAAGTACCATAAAATTTGCACTAAAAGTAGACATTTGAATGAACTGGATTGAATTAGAAAATGTTATATAATCCAAATCTAAGAACAAAGTTACTATCGGGAGCAAGGCTACAAAAGGCAAGTGCCCATTTTGTAGACTGAAATGGTAAAATGCTGATATACTTCAATAATTGGGATATATTATGTTATGCAAAAGTATGACAACCTATATCTTATGTATACAACAAATAAAAAGGAAGCTGGTTACAATACATAAACCAGAAAGTTTAAAAAAAGATGATGCGAAGTTATAGAATAGAAGATTTTGTCATGTAAATTTTCGCTATATTCAAAACAGTAGTAAAAATCAAAGCGTGAAAGAGTACGTAAAATCGAAAATCCAATGGAAAAGTGTGCATCTTGAATTATTACTAAATCTAGTAGAATATTTTTTTAACTCATTCCAAAGAGATAAGCCACAGCAGTTGGTTTATTCAGATGTTTGTCCCAGTTCCATCTAAAGGTGGGAATAAATATTTTGTTTCTACTGTAGTATAGTAGATTGTATTCTATAGTAGACTGGCAACTGTATATTACATGAAAAATAAAAATAAATTGATTAGTAACTTCAGAAACTATATAGAGAAATAGAAAATTAATTACTATATGCACTAATAATAGCGGTGAATTCTGTAACAGGCAATTCAAAAGGCATTTAGAGAAATTAGTTCTGAACATACAAATGCCTGCATCGCTGAAGAGAATATTGCGTGCAAACACTTGTAACTGAACGACATTAGGTGCAGTTAAAACTATACTTAATGATAATAAATTGGGAAAAGAATGTTGATCAGAAACTCTTGGATGTTTCGTACATACTTGGGAACAGGGTATGTCATAAGAATAACCAAACCCCTCATGAAATGTTCCTCAATAGAAAAACCGGTGTTATTTATTTTAGAGTATTTGGCTATAAAGTATATACTGTCATACCAAAACCGACAGGAGATAATTTGCAAATGAGAAGCAAAGTAAGATCCGAGGTACAATAAGCTAAGGAAACTAGGGGGTGTAGAATATGGCTACTAGAAGAACAGAGATTAATTAGAAACCTGTAATGTGAAGTTTGATGAAAGAATGAAATGCAGCAGATAGCATCCTGGATCAGAAACTTAAAAAACTCAAAGAATCAGAAGAACCACAAATGTTATTGAAATCAGAAGACCAGGAAACTCCTAGAGAATGAATAGAGTCATTAGAACACAAATCAACTGCAAAAGAAATTTTGGACTTAAATTAGCCAAGAAAAGCAGAAAGGCCAGATGGAACACATACATATATCACTATATAGAAATATCACTATGTAGAAGGAACACACACTCATTTTAGATGCCATAACGACATTGAAAAATATTACGAAACTAGAAACATTACATTTCAGAAAGATATATTTGACTTAAGAGGCTAATGCTCTGGAAAAGTAAATTTTGTAGAAAAAGAACACAGTTCTGAATTCTCACAAAATTTTAAAGAAGCACGGAAATTTGCCAATGCAGCAGAATGGGATATGACAATGAGGGAAGAAAATGAAATGATGAAGATACTGAAAGTCTGAGAATTAGTTGAAATGTCAGAAAGGAAAAATATATTAGGAAACAAATAGGCCTGTACATTAAAAAGAAATAAAAATGATGAAATGGTTCAATATAAAGCATGTCTACTAGCACAGGGGTTTAGGCAGAAAAGAAGGGAAGATTTTCATAATGTTTACAGTCCCTAGTTAATTATTCAATCATAAGAATATTTTTGCAATACCAGTATGTTTATATGGATAGACTAACTGTCAATTACACATAAAAAATGCATATTTATATGCAAAGTGGGCAAAATATGTATAATCCAGCCAGAGGGCTTTATTGAAGAGAAAAGTAAAAGCATGTTTATTACAAGAGTCCGCATCAAAGTGGCCATGAATAATTTTGTGAATTTGAAAATACCTTAGAAAACCTAAATTTTAAGAAAATACTACAGTGTAATTGTGTTTACATGAGCCCTGTGTCGTGTTTACATGAATGCAATTTACTTATTATTGTATATTAAACCATACTACCAAAGAAACTGCAGATACCCCAGTTGATAACCGGAATGGATTCTTCAAGTATTAAACTACGGATTTTAATAACAGGAGAAAGTATGACAGGAAAGTTAAACTTTTAAAAAATATGTTCAATTTTATAGCAAATTCACAGGCCGAATGGATTACCTACTCACTTCTTATAATTGGTTAAAACAAAAGGTAAAAGTACATATGATCATTCCATTTGCATACTACCGTAAAATCCATGCTATGTATGAAATGAAGCCATAATTTATAAAATATTTCAATAGGTTTCACAAGCATAAACATGTGCATTACAATTTTAAAAAAATCTGATGTGTACACCACATGACTTCCTTGTACAGAATATTAAATTACATGCATTTTTTCTTGCATTATATTTAAACTTATTAGATTGAATTAAACCTACTTCGCCCACAGCGCATAAACCACAACAGAATAAATGCATTCTTTAAAATTCACTTTGTTTACCATAGCGACACTCTGGCGCTAGGTTCACTTAACAGTATTATATTTCATTCATATTACGACTCAGATTACACAACATGTATATCATTTAATGAATTATCTAATCGTTGCCACATGTTCTATTCAAATACTATAATAAAGCTAGAACTATGTATGAAAGAAATTAAGCAAACAAAACAAAAAAGAAACAGTTTTTCACAGACGATTGAGTATTTCTCATTTAATTAATTCAGTTCTCAATACATAAAAACTCAAAATATCTATATTAAAAATTACGAAGTAAATCTCAAACGCTTATTTCCTCGAAAAAATTCCAGAAGGAATTAAGCATGATTTAATTGGCAATAATAAATGAATGCGTTATCTTTGTTGTTGCGAAGCTTAAGTTTCTCTAGATTGGCAACAAATCCACTAGTCTCCTGTTTCAAATGTAAAACATCAATGACCGCCATTAAAAACAGGCTTAGCGGCAATTAAACAACTTTAAAATTGCTGATAATTCTAAAAATATTGCACACAGATTTACTAAAGGCATAAAAACCTTAACCGGAAAATAAAAATAACATAATTCAATAATTTTTAAAGCAAAAAATGTACAATTTACAAACATATAAGAGTAAAGAAACTGAGATCACTGAGACGGGTAATAGAGTGGATATATATATAAATAAATTTATATACGTTTAGTGCGGCCGATTGCAACCAAAATACAAGGTGCAACATCTACATGTTATAGCAGTCCTATACACAAAATTTCAACGTTCTGAGGCTACGCGTTTTCGAGTTATGCGAGATACGTACGTACGCATGTATGTACATACGTTCGTACAGACGCCACGAAAAATTATCGTCAGAATTAATTTTAAACCAGTTTTATAATTTTTTTGAAGGAAAAGAGTATTTTATTCTGTCCTTACGTACAGATATCACGCAAAAACAGCGTTAAATTGCATTCGAGAACGGTCAAATGGATATTTTCGTTGAAATATGCTGCCTGAAACTTTTCGCGATTACAATACTTCCTTTTTACTTCGTACAAGGAAGTAAAAATAGTATGAAAAATCAAAACAATTCCTTTAAATGCAATTAAACTATAGAAAACTAAGATTTATAAACTAAAATTTATAAACTAAAGATATGTCTGTAGGACTAATTGTTAAATATCATAATACATTCATTTTTTCATCAAGGAACTAAACTAGTCTTACATTTTGATAGGTTCTTTTTCCATTTCTTCTTTGAGGTAAGATACAGCAACACATAAATCATCAATATTTGAGAAGGAAGAACCAGTTTCATTTATCTGTCGAAGGATAGCAGCTCTAACAATGTATTTTGGAAATAAACCAGTTTCCAAGACATATTTCACCAAATTTGAGTTCATAGCTTCATCTATTTTAATCAGAAGAGACTCAGAATGCTGAACAGACGAAGACTGCACTTGAACATTTTCCTGAAAAATATATATTGTTTAATGGGATATTTATGAGAAACAAATGCATAACTGTGATCATTCTTCCAAACAAAAACATTCTAGAACAATTATCAATGTTAGCTAGTAAGTATTCATGAAAGAATGATAAAATGCATTTTCCAAAACATCATAAAGTAAAAACAAATGCTACGCATTTATGAGAAAAGAATATAAGAACTGCACTAAAATAACAAATCTTCTTTTTCAGTAGTTTTATAAAAAAAAAGGGGGGGAAAGAAAAAAACTCAAAGGATTCAGATTTTAACATCGCACCTGAGGATTCATTAAGATTTATTATGCTTTCTTTGAGCTCATAATTTATTTGCTCTTGGATGCACTCTTGCTGACACGGTCTTTACTTTTTCTTCTTCTTTTTTTTTTTTTTTTTTTCTTTTGTCTTACTGACTTATAATATAGCACTTTCTTTGAGCTTATGCCATGCAAAATTCAACAGCAAAATCACAAAATTTTTAAAAACAGCATACATTTAGAATTTACGATACAATGTTAAGTGTTGAAATACCTTTTTTAGCACAGAAGGACTATCATTCTCAAACCTCATTTTTGCATCATATTATGTTTGTTGTGTCTTTCCCTTCTCAAACAACTAGCTGCTGGCATGGCCAGCTGCCTAAAATAGTTATTGCAAAAAGAAAAAATATATATAATTTTTTAATAAATTCAGCAAGCGTAACTTCATGGGTCCAGCTGATAATTAATAAAAGGGATACAGAACTGCATTTATTGTTTTTAAATTAATTTGTTAATTAATAACAGGCAAGTTAAATTTAACAGAAAAATTAAATATTTTATGCTTTATCAAGTGGCAACAAACTGGCACATGAAAAAAATTTCATATTGCATATCTTTAGAATTCCAAGATAAAGTGTTAAATGTTTGCATAGATTTTTTTTCATATTAGAATAAATTTTTCTTAAAAAACAATACATGATGATAACATTTGGTGGCAACATCCTTTTATTTGTGTTACCACACATTTCATTACATTCGCTACATTATTCCTTTAAAAATAACACAACGTGATAACATTCGAAAAGTGACATAGACACAAAAATAGCAGACATGAGGGATGAGAATAACAGCACCTCAGGTGCTAGGGGGGAAAAAAATTCTGTTCCAAGGTATGCAACGTGTGGCATCACAAACATTTCATTAAACACAATAATTCAACAAGTGTTTGTAACTAAATCAGATAACATTGTAAATTAAATATTCTAAATTACACCAATTCTACAGATTATTAAAAAATAAAATATTTAAGTTATTAAGATATGTATTTATTGCTTTTAAGTCCCTTACTCAGTTTTTTGGCAATTATAATTTTAAAGATAAACTACCCATTTTAATGTTATGATGAATGGCAACACTGTTAAGTAGCTATTAGAAAATCAGATGCAGAATAAAAATCCTATTGTTTCATGTAATGTCAACATTTCCCAAGGTACAAAGATGATAAATCCATAGCAGTATAAAGTAATAATATATAATAATGCCAAAGTTAATATATAATAACACCAAAGCGGCATAAACTCTGTTAAAGACATTTCTAGTGCTAGTAGTAAATAACATATAAAATACATTTATTTTAGTTGTAGGAATCTCTACATTACACCATTCACAAGAATTAAAAACATTATGCTTAATAGAGAATGATTTAAGTTTGTACCATGTTGATAAGAAAATAATGCAGGTTTGAGATAAGAGAATTTCAAACACAAAAAACTCATACCATTATACCATTAAATAAATTAAATCATTAATGTAGTCCCTATTATTCCACATGACTTCAAAAGCTTTTGCAGAGTTACTTTTGTCATATGTAGTAATCAAGCGTCTTGGCTATGTGCCGAATACAATATTGCTGAGACTATACTACATCTGTTGACTAATGTTGGTTATTTGGTAGTTAACAGCTATTTCATATAATCTAACTGATGACAACAGATTTCTATATTGATTGTCACTTACTTTCGAGCAGTTCAAAATAAATCATGATAATCATCATAAATCCCAATTGTATGGATGTAACTTTGGCTTTGCTCTGGAAACTAAATTGTCTTTTAGATTCAAATATTTTTTGGAGGCAATATTAGCAAATGAATCAATTTCTCATCTCCAATCACAGTATGCCATGAGAAAGGGTATATATCATTTCTCATACCCAGAGAATTACAAATTAATAATCATTGCTAATGGTTTCAGTAGCAAGTTCATGCAGAACATAAACACCGGCATGAGGAAAAAATTTCCTATTAATTTCGAGTTAACAGTTAACTGCTGAATGTGCACAGTTAAAGCTTTCTCACTATTTCTCTACTGATAATGTACTCTCGATTATTTGGTTGTGAAGAATTCAAGGCAATAATTCAAATTGTATGTTTAAAAATGAAAAGCATAAAATTCTTTGAAAATGTTGGTCTGGAATACATCATGGAATGGTTTGAAGGCGATTCGACTTACCGTATTTTTCGCCGTATAAGACGCACTTTTTCTCCCCAAAATCAGGGGGGGAAAAGTGCCTGCGTCTTATACGGCAAATACAAAAGCCCACCATGGCCCTCCTGCAAAGTGGCCAGAGGTAGAAGTAAAGGAGTGGATCACATGTCACCAGCAAAATGGACTTTCTGTCTCAACAAAAATGATAATCTATGAGGCCAAACGCATTGCTGTGGAGAAAGGCATTCAGGATTTCACCGGATCACCATCGTGGTGCTATAGATTTATGAAGAGATCTGGCCTTTCTATGCGCACCAAAACCAGAATTGCACAAAAAATGCCAAAGGAATACTATCACACAAGTGTGTGAATGGGTTAAAAAAAGGTCATGGGACTCCGTAAAGAAAGACATTGTTGTAAAATCATTCAAGAAGTGTGGCATTAGTAATGCCTTGGATGGAACAGAAGACGACGTCTTATTTGACACCAGTGAGGAAGAAAGTGATGACAATGACTGCGTGGATCTGTCCTTCCTCATTTCTGATAGCAGCGAAGAAGAGGAATTCTTGGGGTTAGAATAAAAACATGACAGCCTTATTTTTGTTACTTTCACTGTTTGCTGACTGTTTATGAGAGTAAAGATAGCTCTTAGTATGTTACATGGTTGACATAAAATTTTTCTTAAACTGCTGTTAACTTTATAAAAGTTGATATAAAATATTTTACTACAGAATTTGGTTCATAATCTTTTTTTCTAGATTTGCCTCCTTTAAAATTGGGTGCGTCTTATACGGCGAAAAATACGGTAACTGGGCTTTCAATGCTAGTCATGCAGGTATCATTTCAAATGTCACTAGAACAGAAGAAACAGAGAATGGTACTGAAAATACAAGCAAAGAAGATAATTACATTAATCCCAGCACAGCAATGACTTCTGTCAAAACTCTATTGGACTTCGTCAACCAAAGGGGTTCGAATATAATGATAAAATAGCACTTGCAGTCGACAGAAAAATGTGCAGTGAAATTTGACAAATATTTAAAAGTTCTCTAAATTAAGTAAAATTACTGATTTTTTAAAAGGCATAGTAAATGCTAGAAAACTGATAGTTTGGACTATAAATATTTTTCATTCATCTGTGACCTGCATCCCTGGCATTAGCCTAGACAGCTGAGAATAAACTGTACCTTTTGTCTGAAGTTAAAATACTTAGATGCCTAAATATTCTTTAATATGCAAAATTCAGTCTGCACACCTTTTGCAATGCCTGTAAATTTGAATACAGTGCAGTCGTATACATTGAAATGTTCAGGAAAATGACATCACAGTGCAAGCTCTCTATGCTAAAAACTGAGTAGCTTCTTAACATAAAATTACTAATTCAAGATTGGAATGAATGACAGCCTATATAGGAGCTTGTCTTATTTTGATTATCACACAATTTCAAAACTTAAAAGAGATCCCATGATATTATTGAACTATCGTTTCAACAGTACAATAAAAGCTTGACTATCCAGAAAGCTTGGGAAATGCCGAATTCTGGATAGTTAAGCTTTTATCAATGGGAAACATTTCACTTTAAAATTATAAAAACAATCATCCTCTTTGTTATCAACTTGAATATGAAAAGCCTGCATTTAAAATTTAATTAAAAAAAACATGTCAGTCACAAAAGCCATCGTATTTCAAACAATACAAAATCCCATCAAACATGAAATTAGGTGCAGATACTGCCAATCATCCCTATACAAGTTAAACAGAGTATTCTTTACTCAGTTAGATAATAAAGAGATACTAATTACAGATATAGCATATGAAAACAAACTTCGTTGGATATGTGATACTTCTGCCTGTGCGCACACATAACGGATTGAACTGATTACGTAAGTTTTAACCGCACGCTCAATGATTTATGATTTAATCAGTGTTCTATTTTTAGTTTAGTTTATTTTTGAATGCCTTAGAAAATGGATGCGCAGTTTTTGATCTCTTGTAATAACCTCTCTTTTATAACTTGTGTACAAATTAAAGTTTTAAAAAGCTGAACCTGTGCGTATTTTTTGGATACACCAGAATGAAAAACCCGGTGATTCAGGCAAGTGCTAGTTTACTTACCTACTGCTGGAATGCTTTACGCATTGATTAATATTGTCTATTGAATTGACAAAATACATCACCATTATGTTTTTTTTTTTCTATGCCAGATCCTGTAACTTTGAAAACATTGCACATCATGCAATCCCAAATAATAATAATTTTTTCAAAATGCGAGAGAAAGAAGTAGAACTTATAGCCTTCTTGAAAAAAAAAAATTAAACCAGCTTATTGAGAATTAAATGAAGTAACATTAAACCGAAATGAACTACTTAAGATTGTGTTGCAACGTCATGCTTATCCAATATTAGGGCTAAAGCCCCATCTACATGAAGCGTTTTTCTTGGCTGACTTGATGCTGGTAGAGCAACAATTTTAAGGATCTGCGTATGCACCAAAAATCGGTCATGCTCTCTGCCACGATTTCA